CGTTCTGAGAAACCCAGCTAGTGGATTTCAGGGCCTGTCATCACAGAGTGACTTACGCAGGCTCGAATGTCTAGGTCAATCCCTTCATGGGGCTTTTTTCAGGCAATCAAGACACAGCTACCAGTTTGATGCTGCACACCTGCAATCCCAGCACCTGGGAGGCAGAGGCAGGAGGCTGACGAGTTTGGCACCAGTCGGGGCTATATAGGAAGATTCTGACTCAAAACAAAGACAAACCAAGGGGCTTGTGGGACGGCTGTCGGCAGGTGAAGGGGCTTGCATTGGGGCTTGGCTGCTGGGTCCCACCCCCAGGAATCCACGTGGTGAGGGAGAGAGCTCACTGTCACCAGCTTGAGTCTCCATGTATGCGCCCACACAAATTCTCCCAAAATAAATAAGTAAACAGACACAACTTTAATTTGAGGATTTAACAAGGCAGCTCCACATAGTTTACCTGGTACTTAAAAACAGGTTTATTGCCGGGCGGTGGTGGCGCACGCCTTTAATCCCAGCACTCGGGAGGCAGAGCCAGGCGGATCTCTGTGAGTTCGAGGCCAGCCTGGGCTACCAAGTGAGCTCCAGGAAAGGCGCAAAGCTACACAGAGAAACCCTGTCTCGAAAAACCAAAAAAAAAAAAAAAAAAAAAAAAAAAACAAACAGGTTTATTTCTGGGTAACTTACAACCAGTAAAAGGGTCGGTTATGGGGTCCAGGAGAGGAGAGGTGAGGTATAGTCCAGCGTGGTTCTCTGGAGTACTCTGACTTGGCCTGCAATCCAGCATCCAGGATCACGAGGAGCCAAGAGGGCTGGCATGTACAGATCTTGGGATCTTACAGCTCCCGTCTGGACTACGCCCCAGGGGCAGGTCATAGGTAGGTAGTTACTGGCTGCCTCACCAGGGGCAGTGATTCAAAGTTAAAGCTGGAAGAGCTGCCCACTACACAACTTAGATAAAAATAAAAAATTATTAAACCTTTTATAAATTTTTATTATTAAAATAATATTATTTAATAATATTATTAAAATAATAATAAAATATATTATATATCATATATAATTTATATTTAAATTTATAATTTAAATATAAATTTATAATTTATTATAATATAATAAATAATATATATTATATAATAATATTATATATATTTATATAAAATATATATTATATATATATATATCCTGAAACTGCAAGGTGCACAAGGGTTGGTAACAAGCTCACTATTTTTTTTTAAAGATTTATTTATTTATTATGTATGCAGCATGTATGCCTGCAGGCCAGAAGAGGGCACCAGATCTCATTACAGATGGTTGTGAGCCACCATGTGGTTGCTGGGAATTGAACTCAGGTCCTC